AGAAGTGGCTTAGTCATGCTGGCCATATGACCCGGAAGCTGTATGCCGGCTCCCTCAGCCAATAAAGCGAGATGAGTGCCACAACCCCAGAGTCGGTCACGACTGGACCTAATGGTCAGGGGTCCCTTAACCTTTTACTCTATGCTGGGGGCAGTTAGGCTTGGCCTCCAAGGCGGAGAGCAGAAGAGTATGCTAGCCCTCCTTCCTGTCCTCCTTTGGAAGAGACCCAGGAGGTTAATATGAGCAGGGGTTGAGACCCCGGAACCTTATTTTGTATAATGAAAACATGCAAAGAGTTGAAGTCTCCCACATGTGAAATTAGGTGGAAAGGGCATTAGGTTTCCTCAACCTGCTTTCTCATTTCGCCTCCACAATGATAGTCATGAGCCCCACCTCCCTCTCTGGTCCTGCTTCCCTCTCCACAGCTGTTGGAGCCAGTGTGGTGTAGTGGTTAAGAGCGGTAGACTCGTAATCTGGTGAACCAGGTTCGCGTCTCCGCTCCTCCACATGCAGCTGCTGGGTGACCTTGGGCCAGTCACACTTCTTTGAAGTCTCTCAGCCCCACTCACCTCACAGAGTGTTTGTTGTGGGGGAGGAAGGGAAAGGAGAATGTTAGCTGCTTTGAGACTCCTTCGGGTCGTGATAAAGCGGGATATCAAATCCAAACTCTTCTTCTTCTTCTCTGACACTTCCATGATACGTGTCCCACTATCCACCCCGACAACTTTAGATACTAGGAGTAGCTCTGCCTTTCCACAGGGGGATGTTGCCTCAGCCTCAGCCACCTCTCAGGAGGCAGACACCTGCCCTGTCCCCTAGATGTAGGAGGAGCCAAAGGACAAAGGCACAGAGCCTTCTGCTTACTAGGCATAGTGAGAGACTGCAGAAATGGTGGGGTGGAAGCTCTTCCCTGATCTTGCTGATGCTGACAAGGAGGGAGAAGGGCAAGGCGGCAGTGCAGTGCAATTGTACCGGTAGGGGTGTCAGATTCGCAGCATTCGCACTGCACCAAACTCACGTCCTCATTGCCCCTCACCTTTCAGGTAAGGAGCAGTAGCACGTCTACCAGGAGTTGGGGTAAGTTCCTCTGCCCCACCAACTACTTGCTAAAGGAGGAGACGAATGCTGCCTACTTGCCAAGCACCTTTTATCCTAGAACTTGCCGATCAGAAGGTCAGTGGTTTGAATCCCCGCGATGGGGTGAGCTCCCATTGCTCAGTCCCTGCTCCTGCCAACCTAGCAGTTCGAAAGCACGTCAAAGTGCAAGTAGATAAATAGGTACTGCTCCGTCAGGAAGGTAAACGGCGTTTCCGTGCGCTGCTCTGGTTTGCCAGAAGCGGCTTAGTCATGCTGGCCACATGACCCGGAAGCTGTACGCCGGCTTCCTCGGCCAATAAAGCGAGATGAGCGCCGCAACCCCAAAGTCAGCCACGACTGGACCTAATGGTCAGGGGTCCCTTTACCTTTACCTAATGAGCGGGCAAATAATAAATACAAGAAATCTAACAAACAACTTGGCCGAAGTAAACATTATGGATTACTTATGGAACAATAAAATCAGCCCCAACTACAATGCTAGTTTTGTTTGTTTGTTTGAACATTTTGGAGGGTTGGGCTGACCCTCTGCCTCCCATACTAACAGGAGGGGCTTCAGTCCCCCTTCCCCCCTCATTTCCAGGGACCTGTACTGTCAAGGGAGTCCTTTTATGAGGGAGAATTACCAATTTAGCTCATCTTTAGCCTTTCCCCCTCTTTCCACACATTTGGGCTTAATGTGTCCAAACTGTGATCAGTTTCCTATCCCACGCGAGATGATATTTCAATGCTAATTTTAATTTTGAAAATAATTGCGTACTTCAAACGAAGGTGATTTAGAAAACAGAAAGCCTTTTTAGCAGAGGCTCTGAGCATTTTCCAAGGCCATCGTTCCAGCACCTGGCCGCCCAACACTAATCTTATTTAAAACCAGGGAAGAGAGAAAGAGAAATATTACCATTTTGTTCCCCAGCACATCACATTTCTTGAAGCTTTTGTAATTACCCGTGATTTATTTAAATTTGGCCTTGCTTGCGTTTACTAAACTGTGATGTTCCCTACCATTCTCCAGTCTAATAGGGATGTCTGGCCTTGAATTAATGAGGGACAGCAGGAATTTCATACAGAAGCCAGCAGGCAAAACTCATGTGTGTATTTGCAGGATTAAGTGGTAAAAATGGTTCCACTTCCCTCTCTTCAATTTGTGTAATTAAAATGGGGGGAGGGACACCTTATCTGACAATTGCTCCCACTAAAAAGGTCCCCATGCCATGACTTAAGTGTGTTCTGCACTGCCAGCAGAATCCACCCTCACAAACAGCACAGGAGTATATAAAGGAGAGCAACATGTTTTGCTGTATTATTAGAAACTAGCTTCTGGGCATACACCTCCTGTGTCTAGAGAGGACACTTCTCAAGAGGTTGCCAGTAAACGAGAATATTCAAACTGGCAAGCAGAGGGAACACCAGCAAGCACTCGCTCAGTTCTCATTTTGTAATGTGGCAGACCCACCTGCCCAACAAATATGGCAGCAAAGGCTACAGGATATACAAGCTACAGAAGAGATCAAAGGGGAAGAAAAGGAGAAGCAGGACTTGGTCTTAAAAAAGCAACAGGTAGTCATAAATAATACAGTACTTCCTCTTGAGCAACAACTCCACCTTCACATTACTTTCAGATTTGCAAATTTGAGAGGTAAATAAGCTGGCAAAAGCTACTAGTCCTTGCTGTGGGCTGTCCTAGGATGGATGGTGTGATGGCCTGGGATTCGGACTCAGATGCTGAACCTGAGGGATCCCAGCCTGCACAGGATTCCCCGCCTCCAGAACCAGCTGAGCCAGGGCTGGGGCATGAGCCTGAAGGGTCCTCACCTGTGCTGGATCCTCAGGTGCAGGCACCAGCTGAGTCTGCTGTGGCTCCTGAGGCGATGGAGGACCCATTGCCTGCAGGTGCTCCACTCTCAGCCCCGACAGAGGAAGCTGAGGTTGCCTCTGGGTCTGCAGCCTCTCCTGAGCTGCAGAGGCTAAGGGCAGAGAGGCGGAGGGAACTAAGTTCCCGCAGGAGGAGTGCTCGCCTCCAGGCCAGGAGAGGCGAGTCACCTGAGGATCGGGGCTCCCCTATGCCTCAGGGCAGATAAAAGCCGGCCAGCCCCAGTCCCAAGTTGCGGGAGCAACATTGTTGGTTCCTAGTTCCGAGCTCCTGACCTGCCCTGGCTCCCTGCTTGCTTGCCTGTGCCTGACTTCACCCGACACCCTGCCCTGCACTTCAGCTACTACGGACTGCCTCCACGTTGCACCTTTGACCACGGACTGGACTTGGAACTTGCCTTTTGGGAAACCCACGGGACCAGCACAGATGGAGACCTCTGTCCCTTTCTCCAGAAGCCCACTCCAGCGACTTCATCATGGTTCCTGCACTGCAGAGGGTTGGACAACAAGACCCTTGGGGTCCCTCTAGGATTCTATGGTTTGCTTGTGGGGAGGTTAGATGATGTCCAATCAAGTGTTATCCCACACTTTCCAATGTAGCTCCTAGTCACTTTCCTTATCTCAGAAAGGCCAACATTTTGGAGAAGTGGGTTTGTTGCATATAACGGCATAACCTGAATTTGCTGGTGTGTGACTGAATCCCATCCGAAAACAGAGGTTCAGAAAGCACCCTGAATTCCCACGCTGGATGCTGCAGAAGAGGACATTTTCCTCTTTTGGCTTGCTGTTGATGCTGGACAGGGCTCCACTCCTCCTCTGCTAGTCCACTCACCTAGCGGCCTATTGCTCTCTGTTGCCTACGGCTACCAGCTGTGTGCTTAAATACAGCACTGTTCCAATTCACAACAGCCAGCGCTGCATGAATATTTATGTATGCAAAATAAACCAATGAATAAAGCAATAAGCCACCAGAGCTCAAGTATACCCAGATGTGCAGTGCCTGGCTATGTTTACTTAGTCGTGAGTCAAAGCACTGGCACACATGTTCCTGAAGTGGTGTGGCATAATGTTCTGGTCTTCAGCTGGTGGGATTTCCAATGGCATAATAAACATCAAAGCCCCCGTTCCTCCCTACGGATTTTAATTTACAAAGGACATTAAAATCAGCACCAAAAAACCCCCTTTATCTTACCGTGACTCATCAAGAAGAGGCAAGCTTTTAATCTCCTCTGGACAGCATGGGAAGAATAAGCAACAAGCTCTCGCGCGTCCCATGAATGGACTCAAAATGTCATCTGCCACAGGTTGCAATAAGACAGTTGAATCACTGAATTAAATCCCTGTCCGCGGCACTGGAAATCCATCCAGGCCTAGGATCTTAATCTGGCCATGCAAAATCCAAAGCAAAAACAGAGACGATGAAAAATATTTCAGCTTTCAACCTTCTCCGGTGCCCCCTCCCAACCCATTTCAGTTCCAACCTCTGTCTAGGGGGCAAGAGAAGGTAGCTGTGCATCAATTTTAGGCTTGGGAGAACAGAAATCTAGAGAAAGAGGACGGTGGAAATTTGGGTTCCAGAGATAAAGACATCCTCAGGCGCCAACATTTACTTTCATGATCACCATCACTTTTGAAATCAAGTGTTCTCAAACTCCACCCTCCATGGTTGAAAACTGTTGAGGGTCTTGGTGAACCACTCAGTGATTTTTCAGCCCGTGGTAGCAAATGTAATGTGCTGTGCTAGGTGCTGCATTATCTTTAATTGCATTTTTACAGAAAAGCTGTGGTCCACCAGCTTGGGGAGCACTGGTGGTCTGTGAATCACATGTTTGGGAACCCCTGCTCTAATCTCTCGGGGTCACTCACACACTGCCAAAACAGATAATGAAAGTGGCCACAGATCTGTGTAAAATTGGCATATGCTAATTGATATGAAAATGCAAATATAAAACATACACTTAAACAGAATCATTGGTCTATCTGGTTCAGTGTTGTCTACACTGACTGGCAGTGGCTCTCCAAGGTGTCAGGCAGGGTTCCCCACCTAGAGTTGCCAGGGATTGAACCTGGGACCTCCTGCATGCAAAGCAGATGCTCTACCCCTGAGCTATGGACCTTTCCCATAAATATACATGAGCAGATTATCCCAGGTAGCTGAAGTATTATTCAAAGAGGGTTTCCCCCTTGTCTTATTCATAAGTGCCAAGCGTTCCACATATCTAGCATATCTAAAGTCAAGAATACAAAATAATATAATCACTTTTTAATTGGACTATAATTTAAATAGAAACCCAATCCACCTCACCACCTGCTAATCAAGGTACTAACTGCTGAGGGGCAACTTCTTTTTGTCTAATTTTTTATTAAATTTTCTGTTTTACAATCAAGAATACTCATTTAAACATCCTTAAAATATCAATGACTTCCCTTCTTCTCTTTCCATGCTTCATTTTGCATATCATAAACGCCTGCATTTTTTACAAGAAAACTAAACCATTCAGTATTCCATTATTACATCCATCAAAACTTATTTACACTGTTGAATTAATGCTGCCAACGTTTTCATGGGTACACAATTTCCGCCCATATATTCAACAAACGTTTTCCAATCTTCTCTAAACGTATGTTCTTCTTGTTCTCTTATTCTGTATGTTAAGTCTGCAAGCTGATGGGCAGCTTCAAAAGCCCTGCTCTCTCTCCTTTCTTAGGGTTTAAAACCTTGCTTCCACAGGACAGGCCTTGAAATAGAGAAATAGATTACTGTCCACTGTCAAGCAAGATGCACGGCCACCCAACCCTAATCTGAACCCTGTGTAGCCGTGAGTCTTATGTGTCTTCCCCAATATCCTCTCGTTACTAGAGTATCCATTGGGACTGGTAGGCAGAGGGACTAATAGTAGCTGAAGCCAGAGCCAGTGGCAGGAAGAGCCTTCTCATGACGGGTTATAGGTCAAAAGGCAAGCAGCTTGAAGCAGTGCCCCCAAACAGACCAGCTCAATGAAGTAGGAAAGAAATGGACACATTTCAGTCTTGAGGGATCTACTCTGTTTATTACCAGAACCCAAGAGACAGATAGAAAACAGTGGCATGGATGCAAACTGGCACCTAAGGAACTGGGAGGTCGCTCTGCCCAGGGATTTTTCAGTATCAGAATTGAACTCTTGGTGCTTTTATAGAAAAATCTACTCCTGATTTCCCCCCAGTCTTTCTTAATTTAGAAAAAAATATGGTTTTTTTAAAAATGCTGCTTCTAAACAATTATGAGTTTGCTTATCTACTGCAAATCGCCCAGAGATCTACCAGTAGACCTTGATCTTTTTTCTTTTTCTTTTTGCATAACCCTGGTTTAGAAAACTGCAAGGCAAAGATCATCAACATAGCCAAGAGGAAATTACTTTTGAGGTTGTTTTGAATTTGCTAGCTGTCTTCACTTTTTCCAAAAGAAAAAGAGCCAAAGCTAACATTGATTTTCTGCTTCTCAGTAAACCCCCAAACAGACAGTTGTTCAAAAGAACTGACAGAGATGTTGCTGGTGATCTTCAAGGAAGCTCCCTAGATACGGTGCCCTGGGAGACCTCAACGTCACGTTGACAAGAACTCAGAAATTGGGCCTGATATTTGGGCAGACAGTGGAGAAATCTGTTTGTTACCTATCTCCAGTTAAATATGACCAGAGCATGGATTGTTCCATGCTGAGCTGGTATTTACAATGCAAGCTGCACAAAAAAGAAAAAAAGAAAGAAATCAAGGAAGTTGAAATACTGAGGAGAGAGGGGGGAAACAGTGTGAATCTCCTCTTTCCTGTCTTGCTTCCCATTTTAATGAAAGACTATATTAAAACCAAGCTCCCTGTTCATAGGTCTGATTATGTCAAGTTATTTTAGAATCCAATGCTTTGTAAAGGTTGATTATGGAAATTGTTTCCATGTAAATAACTTCTCCTGTAGTGACATGAAACAGGCCTTTTTCAGTGGTGGCCCCATTTATGGAATGCTGTCCTCAGTAGTAGCTGTTTTTAGGCACCAGGCAAAAACATTATTTTTCACCCAGGCCTTTAGATCTTAATTTTAGCAGAGCAGGGTAGAGTTTGTGTATTTTGTATCTGTGTATTTTAGGATGTTTTTTATACTTGTTTTCAACGTTAATTTTTTGTAAGTTGCTTTGAGTTTCATTTTTTTGTACAGAAGCAGCTAGTAAGTATGAATTATTATTATTATTATTATTTCTACAAATAGCTTCCTATGAGGCACCTCTATTCTCAAATTAGAAAGAGACACTTAAACAAGCAGTACCCAAACAACTTTCCTAAGTGTATCTCACGTGGCTTTTTAAACTCAGGTGTACAGGGGCGCTCCTCAGGAAAATACGTAAAATGCCCTTGCGTGAATGCACATTTCCCCTAAGGCCAACATCTATTTCCCCCTAGAGCTGGTCACTCATAATGGCCCAAACTGATTCTATCAGAAGAAAGACTAACAGATAACTTTTGTTACCATCAGTGGCGTAGCGTGGGTTGTCAGCACCTGGGGCAAGGCAAGTAATTTGCGCCCCCTAACCCGAGTGAGCCAGGTAGGGGCAGAGCTGCGAGTGCGAGCGCGCCCCACCCCCAGATGTTGCGCCCGGTGCGGCCGCCCCCCCTGCACCCCCTACTGGTTACCATCCTGTCAGGGGTCCCTTTACCTTTTAAAGTACTAATAGTGAATTCATTCACCGTGTGGACGCTTATGAAACCAAAATGGCAACATCGTTTCACAAGGAGAGTGTATCAGTATGCTTGGTGGAACTTCAATATTTGTTGGAGGGGAGTGAGGGATAGAAAATGAGGTGGGGTGGAATGGAGTATACTGTAGGCATGGATGTCTAGATTCCCTGAACAGGAACATTCACAATACCTGCTCAGACTAACGGAATAGGACAATTATAATAGTACATACTGTAGATATGATTTCTAAACAAGTATGTGGCAAGGCTGGAACAGGTCAACCTTGAAACAGGCTTGTAAAATTAATCCAAACCCAAAACATATGCATCAAACTTGTTCAAGAGCCAACCTTCACGAATTGGAGGTGAATGTAAAGCATTCATTGACTACACATGCATTAGTCAAAACTATTTCCCATACCTCTTCCCAGAATCCTGACCGCACCAACACCTGTGTATCAGTATTTCAATATCAATAAGAATTTCCATTTCTTATTCCTTTAGCTTTGCCTTATCATTCAGACAACAAACTTGATGATAACGCTGAAGACCCTGTATTTTCATTTGGCCTATCAGCAAGGAAAAGAAGGATGAGAGTTAAAAACCTTTCCGACAGAGTCAACAGACGCGACTCTACAGCTTCATTTTTATGGAAATTTAGAGAAGCAGAGATGTTATGTCCAAAGCAATAAAACTTCATCCTAAAGTGTGTGTTTTTTCTTGCTAAGGCAGGATGTAAGGCCTGAGCTGAGGTAGGGAAAAGGCATGATCACATCTTACTCTACCGGAAGCCCACCTCCTCAGTAAATATATTTTCTCAACTATGCCAGAAATTGCCTCTCACTCTTCCTGCATCTAAATAAACTCCAGGCTTCATTTGAATGCATTATTGTCTTGTGAGAATAAAGCAATAATTATTGAGTGCCCGTATGATTTCTATTCTTTTCTGAATGAAACAGAAAGTCAAGGAAACAGTGGTTTGCGGTTAAGGAGCTATTTTGGCGCAACAAAATACATCTCCTGGAAGAGGAAAGACCACTCAGGAATAACTGTATGCTACTGCACACATTCTTCTGGTGCTGTGGTCTAAATCACTGAGTCTAGGGCTTGCCGATCGGAAGGTCGGTGGTTCGAATCCTCGCGACGGGGTGAGCTCCCGTTGCTCTGTCCCAGCTCCTGCCAACCTAGCAGTTTGAAAGCACGTCAAAGCGCAAGTAGATAAATAGGTACCGCTCCGGCGGGAAGGTAAACGGCGTTTCCATGCGCTGCTCTGGTTTCGTCAGAAGCGGCTTAGTCATGCTGGCCACATGACCCGGAAAAACTGTCTGCAAACAAACGCCGGCTCCCTCAGCCAGTAAAACGAGATGAGCGCTGCAACCCCAGAGTCGTACGCGACTGGACTTAACTGTCAGGGGTCCTTTACCTTTACACTGCACACATTCTCCCCCTGCAGTAAGTTCCCATCTGTAGTCTACAGTTAAAGCAGTATCACTCCACATTAAACAGTCACAGCTTCCTTCAAAGAATCTTGAGAACTGTTATTTAAGGGTGTTGACATTAGGAGACCCCCATTCTCCTCAAGGAACTACTTCAATATTGTTATTATTGTCTTGTTGTTTGCTGCCCTGGTCTCCTTCAGAAGCAAAGGCAGGATAACAATCCAGTAACTCATCATTATCTTCCTCCTCACCATCTTGCCCTTTGCCCCACACAGAATATGTCTTAGGCCACCCCTGACATTTCCCTTTTGTTATCACAGCTCAAGATTTGGGCAGGCTACCGCTGAGCGTTCCTCATATGCTATTTCTTTTCGAAACATTCATTATCTTTGTTGATTGCTTCTGAGTCTCTTCATTTTTTTGACACTCAGTATAGCAATAATAAAGAACGATGCAATGTTGAGAAGATAATGCGTGTTTCTGAGTACAGTGCTTTTAAAGCAAATAAAAATGGCACGTGCCTAATCACTCCTCTTCTTTGAACATGGGGTGCTAACTATGCTTTGCACAAGAGATACCTGTCGGCTGCGATAAAACATTGCCAGTCACATTGGCCTGGAATTAAACCCAAACTGTAGCTACTTAAATCCACTGTGTTTTCTGGTCTTGTGTTTCCTTTCCGCACCACAGAAGATGGTTTAAACAGGGATCACCAGTAGGCATATTTTGAATTTTCAGAATTTTGAAAGTGTTGGGGAACCAGTAAAATAAAAAAGACAGCGCACTAATAGCAAAAGCAACCTCAACACAGTTTATGCAGCTATGGAGTTTTCCGCTAAAAAATCCCAAACCTTGCCCAACACGAACAAGACAGAGCTCATATGAATTGCGCATTCATTTCATGACATTAAAGAAGCAAACCTCTTTCCCCATTTCCCTCTCCGGTACAATTAGTTTCCAGTCTCTGATATGCC